CTGACGCGGGGCTCGAACTCCCGGACCGCGAGATCGTGACCTGGCTGAAGTCGGAGGCTTAACTGACTGAGCCACCCAGGCACCCCTGATATAATGTTAACATGTTAAAGTTTATTTATTTATTTTGAGAGAAAGAGCACGAGCAGAGGAGGAGCAAAGAGAGAGAATCCGAAGCAGGCTCTGCACGGTTAGCGTGGAGCCCGATGCGGGGCTCGAACTCATGCGAGATCATGACCAGAGCCAAAAGCAAGAGTCAGACGCTTAACCGGCTGACCCGTATAATGTTAACATTTTAAAGCAGAGCATACCATCTGCTTTTAAAATACTTTAGCCTCGGGGCATGTGGGTGGCTCAGTCGGTTGAGCCTCGGACTTCGGCTCAGGTCATGATCTCCACAGCTTGTGGGTTCAAGCCCTGCGTCGGGCTCTATGCTGACAGCTCAGAGCCTGGAGCCTGCTTCAGATTCCGTGTCTCCCTCTCGCTCTCTGCCCCTTTCGTGCTCGGTCTCTCTCAAAAATAAATAAAATAAAACGTTACAAAAATTTTTTTTGAAATATTTTAGCTTAAAGGACTCTGCAAAAATATTTATAAGCATAGGAAAATACAACTGTAAGGAAATAAACTAAGTATAAGCAGTGTTTGTAACTGGGTGGCAAGCCGATGAGTGTTAATTCTTTCCATAAAATTTCAATTAATTTTAGTAAGACGCAGCCTATCACAACATAACACGGGAGCCTTTGCGGGGCAGCCAGGCCAGCGTTTGGTCCTTGGCTGTCGCTTGCAGCTGAGGGACCTTTGGCAAATCAATTTCTCTGCATCCGTTGCCTCCTCTGTAAAATGGAGGGGACAGTGTCAACCACACGGTGTTTTGAAGGTCCGGGGAGACCACGTGAATAAAGCGTATAGCAAAGTGTTTGGCAACGGTGGTATTGAGGAATTCACCGATAACTCCGATAAGCAGAGAAAAAGAAGTTTCAAAGACAAAACTTGTTTTGAAAGAAACCCTCATTGGCCAAGGCAGGAGAGGGGAGATCAGAACCGGGGCAGGGTCCAGAGTAATCCGCACTCGGCTTTTGGTTGCGAGTATCAGGCACTCCCTCCTCAAGCTTAGGCCCCACACGATACTGGGTTATGAGAACCCCAGGCTGTCTTAGAGAATCCGGATGAAGAAACGCCACCACCACCATGGTGCGCACCGGGATGGGAACTGGGATTCTAACCCTGAAGCCCACTCCTCCCATCCCCCTGCCTCTTGCTTTCTTCTCCCTCCGCGCTTTTCCGGGAACGAGGCATCCCAACCAGCCCAAGGGCACCTGGCCTCGCTTCTGCCTATTTGTGCCTGCTGGGGCCCTGGGAGCAAGATTCTGATTGGCCCGGCTTGGGTCAGGTGCCCAGGCCCGGCCCAATGAGATATGGCTGAGGGGGCGGAGTCACTGCACCGACATGGCCGCCTTGGGCCTTGTTTTGTGTTGGAAGGATGGGGGGAAACTTGTAGGCCCAAGGGTTGACACTAAATTCTGTGGCTGTCCTTTTCTGTTCTCTGTTCAGGCTTTTCTTCTTAACTCAGGGTTCCTCCTCCTCCATAATTTGGGCCACATAAGGCCACCGTGCTGTTGGGGGGAGCCTCCTGTGGGCAGTCATGGCCGCCATTCCCGGCTGTTCTCTGTGGGCAGCGGGCGGGACAGCTCCCCAGGAGGTCACCCACTCTCCTTGGTTCCCTGTGACATGGCACGGGGCCACAGTCGGTGACAAAATGCCAGGCTGACCCAGGGGGCCAAATCTGGATTCTCTGGGGGGTTTTTGCGGGAGGAGAGACGGTCCGATCCTTCCAGATAAACAGGGTCCCCGGCAAAAGGTGGCTTTGGTAGCGCTTAAATCACAAAGGTTGGTCTAAGAAGGGCACCGCTGACTACACAGTCTCACACACACCCTCTCTCTGCAGAAATAAAGAAACAAAAGACTAATGTATCTCTTTTTAATTGTCATTTTACATCTCCCCACTGCAGCCCCCCCCCCCTTCCCTTCCGTGCCCACTTCTGCAGGCTGCAGGGGAGCGGGGAACAAAGCTGGGGGCTGGCACCCCCACCAGGCTGCCAGCCCGGGAGAACAAGTCACAATTACAAATTATCACAACAATTAGCGCCTGTACTTGGGAGATGGGCAAAGGAGGCGGCCCAGCTCCTCATTGTCAACCGGTCTATTTGGCAGTGACCTTGCTCTGGAGGCGATGATATTCCTTCAGCCTGTAAACCAGATTCAAAACAAAGAAAAATGTAAATTAACAATAACAACATGCACTCGGTTCAATTAATTCGGGCCCAACCCGGGTGGCGGGGGGCAGCTGCTTGTTAAGATGTGTGTGTGTGTGAAGTTGTCTCCCCCCACCCCGTTCCCACTCCTGCCCCCGGCCCCTCCTGCCCTCCAATCAGGATAGTGTAATTAATTTATCTTTGGGGGAAAACATTGCTTGGCATTGTTGAAGACAAAGCATTTAACTGGCAATGGGAGAGATGAAGAGGCCATTATGAAAACCCGATGTGTTTGGAGCCATTGAAAAAGGGTTTATAATCATAAAATACAGAGGGCGAAGGAGGCGGGTTGGCGGAGGTGATTGTCGGAGCGGAGAGCGCCCGGGAAGGTCAGGCTGGATTCAGCGTCTCCCTCGGTCTCGGCACCCGGGACAAGAGCCTGGATTTGGGGGAAAACGGTGGCTCTGTGCCCAGTGCATGTGTCAGGGAGACAAGAGAGACTCGTGCCTTCTACCCAACGCCAAGTCCCGAGAGAAGGAAGTTGGTGGCTAAGCACCCAGAGCTGGACAGACACACCATTTGGACTCAGCAATATGGCTTCCTAGCTGTGTGACTGTGGGCAGGTTACTTAACCGCTCTGGGCCTGTTTCTGGCGTCGCAGCTTTGTGTAAGAATTAAAGGAGACAAGTTAGGAGAGTGCCTTGGGAGTGGCTTAGTGTATGGTGACTGCTGGGAATAAATGACCCTGTTTGCCCTTGTACAGCCCGCCCCCCCTGGGCTGAGCACGTGGTACCAGTTTCTGGGCTCTTCCTGTAGGCCAGGGTCTGGGCTGCCAGCCCGGTGAGGTGGCTACGGTCAATGACCCCACACGGTTCCCGGTGGTTCGGCAAGGGCTCTGAGACCGTACTGCAGAGCTCGGATTTGAACCCAGGTCTGAGAGGCTTCAGATGGTACTCGCTATCCCGCTAGGCCATGGGGATCCACGTGGCTAGGGTGGTTTCCAGTTAGACCCGCAGCTCGGCTGTGGCGACGGGTGCCTTCTGGCCCGGTGACTCTCTGAGGCTCCTTTCTACCTCTTGGCCATTTCCCTTTCTAACCCACCCAGGCAAGGGGCTCCTAGCGGAGTCCTTCTTGCAGCTGGAGAGGGTGGGAGTAAGTGTCAGAGGCAAAGGGCAGGACCCGGAAACATGGAACCTAAGTATCCAGGACCCTCTGTGGCTCTTGGCTGTGCCTTCTGCCTCTTTGAGAATAGGAACAGGCTGGGTCCAAAGCAGGCACTGCAGACGCCATGGGCAGGGGGACAGAAAGGTGGGGCTTGTCTGGGAAAGGGCAGCTGAGGTCCCATCACTGCCTGCTGCCCACACCTGGCAGGCGGGGGGGGGGGGGGG